GTTAAGTGCAAATAAAAAATAAATCTTTGAACTGTGACTTTTTATTTTTTATGCCAGTTCATTCTCCCCCCAGACACAAGATGCATCTTCACAAGAAATCTAATAATTGCTTATGAATCTTCTGCCAAATAAATGGCAAACCTTAAAGAATATCATCCTATAAGAATTTAATTTAATCAATATAATAACAGTATTATTGTTATTACTAAGGCAAAACGAAAGCAATAGATTATAGGTATTATAAAAAATTCAAATTAAGAAGCTAGTATGGGCTAAATTAAAGGAAAAGTTAGGTATTATAACTCTAATTATCAAAAACTCTTATTTTAAATAATAAGCATATTCAGCCAGTAAATACTGATATTTATATATGAGTAATAAATTGTATAAGGTTTTTTTTTTTAAGATTTTATTTATTCATTCATAGAGACAGAGAGAGGCAGAGACACAGGCAGAGGGAGAAGCAGGTTCCATGCAGGGAGCCCAACGCAGGACTCGATCCCGGGTCTCAATCCCAGGTCTCCAGGACCACACCCTGGGCTGCAGGCGGCGCCAAACCACTGCGCCATCGGAGCTGCCCAAATAGTATAAGGTTTAAGTGAATTAGAGGATTCCAATCCTCTGCATGCAACTTGATTTTTGCCATACCACCACCACAAAAATCCTAAAGAACAAAGCATTAAAATTATTTTGTATAATAATGTTTTCTCAAAATCTCCTAAGGGGAAGTATCAAGAAATAAAAATCTAAATATAGCACAGGAGTAAATCAATCAATAACTTATAAAATTAAATTATAATATTTAATTCCTTGAGAATCTCTGAAAAGAATATATTATTTTATTTTTAAAGATTGTATTTATTTGAGAGAAAGTATGAGTACACCTGCAAGCAGGGGGAAAGGAAAACACAGGCTCCCCGCTGAGCAGGCAGCCTGACATGGGGTTCCTCCACCCAAGGACCTTGAGATCATGACCTGTGCCTAATGTAGATGCTTAACTGAGCTGCCCAGGATCCCCAAGAATATACTATTTTAAAAAATCAAATTACTGGGCAGCCCGGGGGGCTCAGCGGTTTAGCACCACCTTCGGCCCACGGCATGATCCTGGAGACCCGGGATTGAGTCCCACGTTGGGCTCCATGCATGGAGCCTGCTTCTCCCTCTGCCGGTGTCTGCCTCTGTCTCTCTGTGTCTCTCATGAATAAATAAATAAAGTCTTTAAAAAAAAAATCAAATTACTTGTCTGAAACACCCTTGAAAAAAGTAGCTAAATGATAAGCTTTCACAGACATTATCATAATAAAAGAAATTACCAATACTGAATACTTGTTTGCTAAGCATTTTACATATATTTTCTTATTGCAATATTATAAAATAAGCATCATCATGCCCACCTTATATATATGAAAAATTAAGATTCACTGGCTAAGTTATATGCTCTGGGTCTCACAGCTAGTAAGTGAAAGGGAACTGAATCTAGTTCTATGAGGCTCTGAAAGCAGTGCTCTTATCCATTCATTAAACCAATGCTTCCCAATTTCTGTCACATGATGGCCACACTGAAAAATGACATTTGTAAGGCTTACTAAGGGAAGCTGGCGGGGCTTGGTAAAAATAATATATATTTTCTTTATATCACAAAATTATGACATGAAAATAAGATACAAAGTATTACAGATGATATTAAATACTAACTGGCATAAACCTTCCTAATATAATATTTTCAACTACCATCTTCCCAAAGTTTAAAGAAATCGTACTAAAAGTGTTCAAATATCATTTCAACTGTTGCAAAATTTTGAAAAGTTATGAAAATGATTTAAAATCTCAAAAATATAGGGGTGCCTGGGTGGCTCAGTCAGTAAGCATCTGCCTTCAGCTTGTATCACAATCCCAGCGTCCTGGGATGGAACCCTTGCACCGACATCAGGCTCCCTGCTCAGTAAGGAGCCTGCTTCTCCCTCTCCCTCTGCAGCAACCCTTGCTTACGCTCTCTTGCTCTCTCTCAAATAAATAAATAAAAATCTTTAAAAAATAATAAAATTTCAAAACTACAAAAAAATTTACAAACAGCATACTTGTATGCCATCCTATGCACTGCATTCTGGTTGGGAAGCTTTGCAATAATATAACTTTGTCTTTCCACTTACTATTGACTAAACATTACTTTGGCATTTTCAAGATCTTCTCAAAAACATACCTAAAGGAAATTCAAACCAAAGGTAATCAAAAAATTGTAACACATAAGTATTCCTTAACTGATTTATTTTTTTAAGCTTTTATTTATTTATTTATTCATGAGAGGGGCGGGGGGGGGGGTGGCAGAGACACAGGCAGAGGGAGAAGCAGGCTCCATGCAGGGAGCCCAATGCGGGACTCGATCCTGTATCTCCAGGATCCCGCCCTGGGCTGAAGGCGGCGCTAAACCACTGAGCCACCAGGGCTGCCCTCCTTAACTAATTTAATTAGAATCTGAAACACTCTGACTTCATAGTCCACCTTGTTAATCACTATACTAAACTGCATCTCTCCAAAAGAGAAAATACAATACACCTATTGTGTGCCAGGAGAGACAAAGGTAACCAAATACATCCCAACTTAGACAAGTTTGTTAGTTTCACAGTGATGAAATAAAAACTTGCATGTACATCAAAGGACGTATTCTATAGCAAAAAAAAAAAAAAAAGGTTATCTGTATATTGTGATGAGTGTGTTCTGCTTACTGAAAATAAGGGGTAACTTTAACTTCTGTGCATTATGATATGGTTCAAGCAAGAGCATCTGTGTTTGCAACTATTTATATTTGTTGACTTGCTCAAGAATATTAAAAAATCTTACTTAAAACAATGAAATTGATAAAAATTAAAAGCAAATGTTTTAGTACTTTGATTTTTACTTACTGTTTTTGAAGTTCGCTAAGTCATCATGTGTTTAATTTTGTTTTTAATTAAATGCACTATTTATAAAATCCCAAATAAAGATTTTTTCCAGACATTTGCTTGCCTAAATTCTCCCTGCCAAATCCTGCCATTTGGAAGAAAACCTCACAGTTTACAACTGTACTACAATAGGCTAATGTCCTGAGGAGATCTCTGATGGTCAATGTAATTCAAAACATTTACAGAAGATGAAAATCACGCCTTTAATTTCATAACCAATCAATCAATACAGACATTAATTCCTTGAGTATTATACAATGGTTTGTATTAAGCATCCGAAAGAGCCCCAAGAGCAATGTCCAACATTAGGTGGTTCATGCTAGTAAATATGTAAGAAGCACCTACTATGTGCCATGGACCATGCTCATCCACAAATGATACCTGTTAAACAGAGAGTGGCAGTCTGGAACTACAATTCAAATTCTCGTGTTATGAATATCACGTTAGATATTCAAACCAAAAGCTCAAGCTCCAATGCATAACTTTCTTCCTATATCCAAAGAGCTATTTCTAGGGCTTCTGCAATCTACAAACCACTAAATATGCCAACATGAAGAGACTAGCATGGGCACCCAGACCCGGAGTACAAAATAAGCCTTGGGTTATGGTGGTGTACTCTGTCCTCTGGAGCTTTACACCATGAAAGTTTGGCACTTCTCCTAACGTGACTTGTTTTTCCCAAAAATTGTTTTAAAAAGTTCCGTTGCAAAAAAGAAAAAAAAGGGGGGGCTTTGTTGCTTACAAAAACTATTACTCCTACATATTCTTCTCTAACAGAACTTTAGAAAATACTAATAGTAAAGAAACAGTGACAACTAATTAGTAAGCTGATGCCAGGGTACTTTATATGACTTACTGAGCCTCTAGAAACTGGTCTCAAAAATGCTTAAAAATCATGCTGAGTGGGACGCCCAGGTGGCTCAGCGGTTGAGCGTCTGCCTTCGGCCCAGGCGGTGATCCCGGGGTTCTGGGATCGAGTCCCACGTCGGGCTCCCTGAATGGAGCCTGCTTCTCCCTCTGCCTTTGTCTCTGCCTCTCTGTGTGTCTCTCATGAATAAATACATAAAATCTTTGAAAAAAAATCATGCTGAGTAAAACGCATCTGACTGTACCTAAAAGCTGCTCAAAAAGAATGTCGGGTAAAATAAACAGTAATTTCTGAAACCAATATTTTTAGTTTGGAGAGACAGCTCACCAGAAGTTTGTCACAGCTTTTATAGTGTGTCCAATTCCATAATCTATCCTAAGATAACTCCATTCCCACTGCACATCCTCCCTAGCAACTATTCAGCAACTCCCAATATGTAATCTATTGTCCACTGTATCTTTGACCACAAACCTCAAACCAACCAGTCCTTCTATTTCCTCGGCTCACAAAACCTCCCCCTTTATATAAACAAGAGGAGTTACAAAAACCTTCAGAGAGTAAAAGTGACATAAGGCGGTGAAAAAGTATACACAGCCCGTGCACGCAAGCTCTTCTCCTTTGTATCCAAGAACGTGTCATGGATCCCAATCACACACCTTCGCATTCCTGGTTAATCCAGGGGGTTCCTCCGCCTTATCAATAGTTGAAAACGCCCACGTGCTAATAAAGGAGAGTCCTTACACGTCCACTCAGTCTCAGACCCTGTTTACATTACTCATTCGCGCATCCCAACTCCATCCGGTCGAGGTATCGCTCCAACTCCTAAGCCATCACACGAGCCTCACCCACACTCTCCCGTCCTCTTCGCTATCAACAAGCTCCAACTCCCTGCAAAGCCTTCCCTACCATCAGCTCTCCCTTTACGAGTCTTTCCCAGGTCCCCAACACAGCCTCCACGTCCTCCGGCCCAGCGCCGGCTCCAGCACGGAGTCACGCCCTCCCCGCAGCCTAATTCCTACAACCCCAAACCCCACCCCTTCCTCGCGCCCGCCGGGCCTCCCGCCCCACCGCCGTCACGCCCCCAGATCCCTCCGGGGTCCTTCCAGCCGGCCGGGCCTCCCCCCTCAGGGCTGCCGAGCTCCGGGGCCTCCCGCCCCCCGCCGGCTCCGCCAGCCCCGCCCTCAGCCCCTCACCAAGGAGCAGCAGCTTCACTTCTTTGGCCGCTTTCTCCCCGTCCTCCCGCAAGTTGCGGTCGATCATCTTGCTCCGCTCCACCGCCGCCTTGTCCTCGGCGCTCAACGTGCAGCCCATGGCGGCGGCGGGAGAGGGGACCGAGCCCGGGCTCACTCACACACCGCAGAGACTGCGGCTCGGCGGGCGCAGACGGCGTCTACTGCTGGGCGGCGGCCCTCTCCGTCAGCTCCTTGAGCGCCCGAAGCAACCGGATATCCGGCGTGTACGACACTTCCGGCGACGCCCCACGGCGGTGACTGCTCCGCGTCTCCCGCTGGGGCCGAGGAGGTGCGACCGAAGGCGGAAGTGCGGTGCCGGGCGGGCGAGGCGTCGGCCAGCCCCGGGGACGCCCCTCGGCTTGCAGCCTCTTCTCCTTCTCGGCTGCTTTATTTGGATAAATGTAGAAGAACCAGGGACTGGCTTCCCCAGTTCGTGGAGCCCTCCTGAGTCCCAGCCGGCCCTGGAGGGCGGCGGGGTTCCCAGGAAGAGTCCGCTCCCCGCACGGAAGTTCCTGCTGGGGGCTTCTCCCCGGCCAGGAAGCCCCTGTGGCCCCAGGCTGTGGGGAGCCCGAGCGCCCTCCCGAGGGTGCCCTGCCGAGCTGTGTCGGCCCGGCCGCGGTGGGAGCTCGCCGCGCACCCTAGCCCCCGCGCCTGCGCCCCCCCGGGGCCCGCCGCTGCCCCGGTGGGACCGCCCTCCTGGACGATCCGGTGCTTGTGCTGCTACCTCTCTCCAGTGTGAGCCAGTTGGGCGCGGATAGAGAGAGGATCCTGCGTTAGGCGCCTCGGACTCCTACCAAAATCAGTTAACCTCAGGCCCACGCCCCAAAACACACCAGCGCATCCTGTCAATCTCCCCGCTGAAACCTCCTGTTGTAGTACCACACAAAAAGGGAAGTTCTGGTAGATTTGTCTTTCAGCTCCTGCGTCACCTGAAAACAAACCTCTATGAAAACCCCCGACTTTTCACTCCTAGTTCTGAGTACTACCTTCAAAGTGACTCTGAATTACCTTGATGGCTAAATAGCTGCACAAATACCCTCCACCCTACATTCTAGAGATGAGAACTCTTGTGGTCCCCCAAACCTTTGCCTGGGATTAAAAATTATTTCCCTAATAGAATCTCAACCTTAGCGTATAAGGTCCCAACAGAAAGGTCTATATGGCGATGATTCATTCATTAGAGGGATTTCTTGAGAGCCACCTTAAACAACTTCATCCCCTATAATTTAGTAACGCCAGTCCTTCAAAGTTTGAAGAGGCTCCTACTCATTCCTAAATGACTGTTACAATAAGAATGATGGCTTTCCCATAATCGGTACTTATGGGAGAGGAGGGCAAGAAGAAAGGGAAGAAAAACCAGTATTTATGGAGCACCTATTTGCCGGGTATGGCTAGGTGCTTCCACGTGCTCATCTCTTAACCCTCACAACAACCCTGGGAGGTAGGTGATATCACCCCCATTTTTTTTTCAGTTGAAAAAATAGGCTCAGGGAAATTAAGCATCTTTCCCGAGTTCACACAGTAAGTAGATGTCTGACTCCAAATTCACCCCTTTCCTGCCATGCCGCTGGAAGATGTTACCTGGGGAGACCTGACAACAGAAAGTTGTCATCTAGGCTTGAGAGCTACCGCCCAACACCACCAGGTGCAGGAAAAGTAACTAACAGGACGGCTGTCTCAACCTGTTGAGTCTTGCGCCCACTAGAGAGGTCAGATTTTACCCAGGAACAGCTTTCCCAGCCAAGGATTACATAGCAGACTCTACCAAGCGACCCTGGTGACTAGAAAACAACTGGAAGGTGGTCGCGGCAGAAACTATTGGGAGAATACTCAGCATAATAGAAATTTTTATTTCCTTCATGATCCCCTGCGGGGGGGGGGGGGGAATGGCAAATTGAACCAGCATGTGTCAGATTCTGTAATCAACGCCAGTGAGATCACAGTGTCAGGAAATTTCAGCCTGAATTAAAGATACCCTTGCACTTCAAATTTTCTTTTTTGATGTATGTGAAGGAAGGGTTGGAGGGCAAAGTCAAAGGAAAAGCAAAGTAAATGAACAAAATGGCTGCCAGGCGATGTTTCCAGTCCTCCCCTCTCCCCACTCCCTCTCCCCACTCCCTCTCCCCACCCCCAGGCGCGCACCTTTCCGGTTTCCACTGGACTCACGCTGCCACCTGCTGGCAATGCTTAGGGCCTACTAGCTGATCCGCGGTACTTGAGGAAGAGTTTCCCCTTACCTAAGAATGAGATGCCTCCCTTACGAGTTAAAAGGGAGGAGAGCAAGAAGAACATGTTTCTCAATCATGAAAAAGATTCTCCTTGGTAGATATACTAAGGGATTTCCTCAATTTAATAGGTTCTAGACTAGAGTAACTCTGATGGTAGGAAGACGGAAACCTATAAATTTCCCTGGATCTAAAGGGGGAAAGCTATTTGCCCAGTTTCAATTAACAAATTCTTTTCCTGGACTAGAGTTGCATCTACGACCCTCACACTTTCCACAATCCCCAGAAAGCTTCCCCAAAAAGGTATCTTGCTGCAATGGACTGAGCTCCAATATATTTCTCAAACATTCCTTAGTGCTTTACCAGATATAAATGCTCTGTAAAAATACAAGGTACCTGATCAAATTAGACAATTCCTCAAAGGCAGTGACTCTGTGTGGGCCCTGGAGAATACTAGGTCTTCAACTATTATGCACTGACTTGAACTGAAATAGTAAATGTTGATATCAGTATAACTTTTTATAATAAAAAGTATTTATTGGCCATTCAGAGGGAAACTATCCCACTCCCACCAACCCATCTTACCCTTCAATGTTCAATGAGCCAGGAATTTCTTCACATACAGATCAGAACACCCTCTGGTCCTGCCTCATCCCTTTAATATTACTTGATTCAATTGAGGGAAATGGATGGACAAGGAGTCCCAGATGGGTGTCCTGTCCAGTTTGCAACTATTCCTCTTCCCTTGAAAATACCACCACTGATACCAACCGTCAAATTCCTACAGCCTCAATCAGTGAACAGCTGAACCCAATTCCTGTGCCCTCTCTCCAACCCAGGGCTGCAGATAGGAGAGAGATTTAAGTCTTTGTCACTGAAGCTACTTTTGAGAGCGATGAATGGGAGTAGGGAAGCATTTAATGGACCATGGAAACCCCACCCTTCCCATTCCCAACCTTAGTCTCTTGTACCCGATTGTCCAGGGGGCTGGAGGTGGGCCACTGCCATGAGGAGAGAGATCAGGGAGGCCAATCCTGGGAAGAAGAAGAAAAAAAAATTTACAGTATTATTGGTCAAGGTGATCATCTGGCCTCTGTATCCAACCATCTTAGCAATTCAAATGCTAACCCCACCTTCAGCCATCTAACCCCAATCTTTTCTACTTCTTCATTCTAAAAAATAAGGAGAAAGAGCCATCCTGTTGTATCCTTACTTTACTGAGATCAAGCTTCCAGGAGAGAGACTGCAAAATAGAACAGAAGGGCTGTTCCCAGAGGGTGGGAGAGAGCTGCAGTCAGCTTTCCTGCCTTCTACTGTTTGTACCCTGCCTACTATTTCCCCTTGCTTCTGGCCAAACTCAGGAAAGGAATATACTCAACTGGCCCTCTCACTTTAAGGAAACATCATGTCTAAAACTAAAAAAGACCCATTAACCCAAATGGAAACACTTAGCTGTGTTTTATTTAGTTCTTTTTAAACCTAGCAAGGAAAGGAAAAAACACAGGTCATTTTCTTACCTTGCTTGGGTGCAGTTCCTGCCCTGAACAATTACACTGAAATGAAATATCCTAAAGGATCCCTGAGATAACTCCAGACCTGGCCTGCCGCTCTATATCCTCCAACTCCTACCCATAGAGTTTCCCTGCTTCCTGAGGCATGGAAGGTTCACTGGTTGAAAGGCATCATCTCACCTTCGTGACCCTTTATTCTCATTACCATTTCACCAGGTTCCCTCCCCCAGTAGTCAAGGATCAAAGCCATGTCCAAGGTTTGTGCCACACGTTCATCCCGTTGGCATTGTTCCTGATCCAGAAAACACTAAGCAAAAGCCGTGTGCAGAGACCCCAGCCCCAGCCCCTGCTAGCCGGGAATAGGTGACCCCACAAGGTGTTCCTTCAGTCACAAGCAGCCCCGGCCCCATCTCCCTCCGGGTGTCCAGCAGCCCAGTCACGATTCCCGTCGAGGTGAGGGGGCCGGATGGAGGTAGCTGTCCGACATGATGATGTCGCTGGTGAGTTGCTGCTCCAAGAACTCAGAGGTCTCTTCAGCTATCTGGCCTGGAATTCTAAAGTCTACAGCAGGTGTCTCCTGCTTGGGGCTGGGGAGGGGTCGGGCAGCCCAGGACTCTGTGGGACAGCCGGTACCCTGGAGGAACTGCAGAAAGTTCTCCTCGATGGAGCCCTCCCGGCTGGGCAGCCTCAGCTCCTCCTCTGGAGCTGGCTTGAAGAAGCAGACAAACTGCTTGCTAAGCTCCCCCCTGATCTGTCGATTGAGACATCCGTAAAAGAAAGGGTTGGAGGTGAAGCAGAAGTAGCCGATCCAGGTCACCACATTCTCCACCTGCCCAGTGGAAATGGGCTGAGCACTGAGGGCAACGTAGAGGTGGAAAGAGAAGTAGGGCAGCCAACAGAGCAGGAACTGTCCCCCCACAGCCAGCAGGACCACTGCGGCCTTCCCTCCCCCGAACGTCCGGTGCGGGGTGGTCTGGGGAGCCCCGGAGCTGGTGACCATGGTGGAGCGGCTGCTGAGGGACTCCGAGCGTTGGCGGGGCGTCTCCATCCAGGTGGGCAGCGGGCCGCGCTGCAGGGCGGCCACCCGGGCCACCCGGAACATGCTGCAGTAGACCACAAGGATGAGGAGCAGAGGCAACAAGAAGTAAAGGACGGCGAACACCACCACGAACAGCTGGCAGTAGGCGCCGCGGCTCCAGTGCAGCGAGCAGCCCGGGGGGAGGCCGGGGGCCCCCTCCTCCCGGGAGGCCCGGCCCAACACGGGCACGGAGGCCATGGCCAAGGCCTTCACCCACACGCCCACCAACACGGAGGCCACCAGCCCCAGCGTCATGCGCACCTCGTAGCGCATGGGGTGGACCACGTAATAGTAGCGCTCCACGTTGATGGCCGACACGGAGAGGATGGCCAGACTAACGAAGCATATGCTCAGGAACAAGTAGAGGCGGCAGGCGACCTCCCCAAAGAGGTCGTGGTCGAAGAGGGCAGAGCTGGAGAGCATGGCCAGGGGCATGAGGGTCAGCGCGGCCAGCAGGTCCACCAGGCAGAGGTGGAAGACGAAGACAAATTTTCGGAGGGCGGGGGTCTTGGCGATAACGGCCATCACAGCGGCGTTGCCAGCCACGGCGATCAAGTCCAGCAGGAGCATGAAGAACAGGGCCACGGACTCTGAGGCCACGTCCCGAAGCCCCACCTCCGGCACCCCGCTGGCAGTAGAGGGACCTGGGGTCTGAGGGACCCTCCCCAGAGTGGAAGAGTTCCCTGATGACTGGGGGATGGGGGAGGACTCCATGGGGCCGAAAGAGGACACCCAGGGCACCTCCTGTCACAGGCCCATCCCCCATCCTAGTCCGGTGACCCTGGGATGGCCAGCCCAGGCCCAGGCTTGCCGAGTTGGAGTTCCTGCGTGGGGATGGGGGCAGGGGGTGCCTCCTGCTGGAGCCTGCTGGGCAGGCTCTAATCGCCAGCCTTCCAGGCCGGGTTGTGCATATAAGGGAACGGAGGGCTCAGCAGCTCATCTCTCCTCTCAGGCAGGAGGTGGCTCTGATCTGCCTTGGTGACCTCAAAGAAGGAGAAGTGAGAGATACCAGAACCTCACCCACTCAACACTCCACCTTCCGAGTGGTCTCCAGCTCCTTCTTTTGCTTTTCTTTTCCACTGTCCTCCATGCCCTTCTGTTCTCTCCGGGACTGTTATCCAGAGATCCTAAATCCTCTGTCTCCCTCTCCTAGGGTCCCGCTGAGCTCCAGGATTGTGCCCCAGTTTTCAAGTAGCTTATGTAAATTTCTTGATTTCTTGTCTTAGAATGGCAGGAGCTGTTGGGGCACAGAGGGGACACAAAATCTGGTTTCTAGTCCTAGGCCTGGGAATGATGGACTCTGTGACTCTGCTGGACTTCAGTTTCCTCATGAAGGCATCTGTAAAATGAAGGGAACAGCAGCCACTTCACAACTGTGTTTGGAGGAGCCTGTGAGACTTAATAACAATACCACCCATACGTAGTAACATGTTTAAAGATGCTTTCCAGGTGCCAAACCGCGTTCTAAGCACTGTACCTAAATATGCTCATTTTAATGCTCACACAACCTATGAGTATTTCTCTCATCCCCATTTTGCAGTTGGTGAAACTGAGGTCCAGAAAGATTAAATAACTTACCAAAGGCGGCAAGGTCCAGGTACGCGCCCGTGTGGTCCGGCTCCAGGGTCAGTACTCCAGCCCACCTGATGGTGCCCTCTACAGCAACTGGAATGCAATAGGCATTCAATGGATCGTTGTTGCATCTGAATCATCTCCAAAAATGTCTATTAGTGCTCTGGGGCTACCAATGGGAAGAGATAACCTGAAAGAGGGAAGGACTGTGTTTGGTGTCCTGTGACATCACCACCACCAAGACAAAGAGCTGCCATTTGGGGAGTGTTGAGGAGGAACCGTGAAAACAAAACATTCCAGCTGGAAGGAAACTGGGATGCCAGCCCATCCAGGCTCCACTGCCCCCCAAACCAGAAGGGCATAGGTCACTTGAAAGCTGCCCTTCTTTACCCACTCATTAGCTTTTCCAAGCCACCGTACCCCTGCAGGTGGGGGAGGAAGTGCCTAACCTTCCACTCCCTGGGGTCCTCAGATCTCTGATCATTGGAGCAGATCCCCGGCCCAGACTCCTCTAGATCCTGGACCATTAGCACATTCCAGAGCTAGGAGGGAGGAGTAGGTGTCTGGGGGGTGGGGGAGGAGTAGGTGTGAGAGTGAGTAGGTCACTGTCATGGTGGAAATGGGTGAGCATAAAGCAGAGAAGACAACTGGAAGGCATTGAGAGGGGAAGAAGTCTGGGGTTTCAGCGTCTCTCATTTCTCCCGGCCAAATGGCAGATCAAATGTTGTATGTGTCTCATTATCCACATTAAGTTTGCATATAGTTGAAATAATAATGCTTTTAAAATTTTTCATTTCCGGGATCCCTGGGTGGCGCAGCCTGCCTTTGGCTCAGGGCCGATCCTGGAGACCCGGGATCGAGTCCCACGTCAGGCTCCCGGTGCATGGAGCCTGCTTCTCCCTCTGCCTATGTCTCTGCCTCTTCTCTGTGTGTGTGTGTGTGTGACTATCGTAAATAAATTTAAAAAAATTTTTTTCATTTCCATATCCTATTCTTGCAGTCCAGTTTCTCCCAGTATAATATGTGAAGGTATGCAAACTCGAGGCAAACTATAGATACGCCAAGTCTGTAGCCAGGTCACAAGTTCTCTGGATCACGGTTTCCTCATCTGTAAAATGGGAAGATTGAACTGGACGACCTCCAAGATTCCCATCTCTGACAACATTTGATGACTCTGTGAGTTCCTGGGCTGCCAAGGGCTTGGTGGTGGCTGAATTTAAAAACCCATCATTTCTCTGACTGCAATGATGTGGACCACGTGGGGCAGACCGTTCCCATTCCCTCTCCATAGTTACCGCCTTACAACCACCCTTGGGTTTTGGTAACCATCGATAGTGTATTCCTTTAACTTCAAGCATGCCATGCATGCAATGGGTGCTCAGTATAACTTTGTGAATTGTATCAAACTCAAACTGATCTGTTGAGTCCCTGACCCTTAGTATCTGACCCTGCCCCTTTGTACCTGCTCCAAGTACACTCAGTAGGGCAGCTGCGTGCCAGCCAGAGGACTCTGCTCTGGAAAGGGTAACCTGGTCTCCTGGACTTGGCACAGCCCTAACTTTGGACAATTGCCTAGGGATTTGCCTCTCCCCAGGGATAACAGGAAGCTCATTTCACAGTTAAAATGGCCACATTGACCCAGGGTCTATAGAGAAGGTAAGGAGATGGTTCCAAAGTGGAGACATCAGTTTCTCATAAGACACTCTACCAGGAAAAATGCAGAAAGCAACGCTAGGAGAGGCATCCTTGCCCCTTACTTTCCATGCCGGGCTTCATGTCTTTCTCATCCCTTCTACCTGGGAGTGGAGGCCTGAAGATGTGGCTCTGAGGCCCTGGGAGCTAGAGGAGTGAATGCCCTCCATGTCTGCATGAACATCAAGAGTCTGCCAGCAAGGCCCACCCAGGGCCCCAGACCGAGGGAAGCAGACATGGTTTCCACGTGGAGATGGAGGGGGCACTGTGCAGCCATGACGGAGCCCTAGGCAAGAAGGCACTGGACGTTTCTCGTTTCCACAGCCCCCTCGGCCTGGGCAGGATCTCCACACTGACTCCTAAATGCTAGGATTCCAGTTTCTGTCCTAACAGATGGACCAACGTGCCTGCTCCCCAGCACTCCCTACTGATGGACGGGAAGGGGGGGGTCGTCAGGGAGGGGAGGGTTGTGCATCACAGTGTCAGAGGGGAAGCCCAGAGAGCCTCACTCCACTCCTAGCTCACAGCATCATGCCTTCTCACTCGCTCTCATCTTGCCACTGCTTCCTGACAGCAAGCCCTCCCTCACCTCCAGGACCTCTCAGCACCTGGCAGGCTTTACCACCATAGGGGCCAAGGTCTGGCCGCCTGGCCAGGGCATTGTCAAGTTACAAATATCTTTGTTTCAGGATGCAAGATGTGCATAAGTGCCCACCCCAAGGCCACAGAGATGTTGCTGGGATTCGAATGCACCTGTTTCCTAAATACAGAGCTTCCAACCCAAGGACCCCAGCACGGCCTTCCTTCAAACAACAGTATGTCCCTCCTAAGCCAGGGGAGATTTCCAGGGGGTAACCACACCTCTCCCCAGCAGAGTTGCCCACGCCCAGGACGCAGAATTGCCCATCAGCCTACATGCCAAGGGACCCATTCCTAGGATGCGGGGGACCCATCTCTATGACATGGAGGAAGACAGATGGGGAACCCTGTCTGCCTGTAGGATGTGGGTACTCCCTCTGGCAGGAGATCAACCCCCATCTCTAGGCTTCAGAGGTGCCCACACCCCAATACCTGGGAGCCCATCCCTTGACGAAACTGCCCACCACAAGGTAGGGTGGGCTGGTCCTGGGGACGCAGAGCTACCCTCCTGCAGAGTACCTCAGCACTCACCATCAGGCCCTGGGACAGGCCCCTATTCCTGGCCTAGACAACTCCTACCTTTGCTGAGCAGCTCCCGGCTCCCATGTGATAGCTCCTCTCAGCTGATGCTTCTCCAAGGCTGCTGAAGCCTGAACCACTGCAGTGAGTGGTGAGAGGCAGCAGGCAGAGCAGGATGCTCCAAGAGCTTCTGGGTCCTAATGGCCTCCTGCTTCCCACCCAGCCCCTTGGAGCCACTTCTGAAGCAAGGAGCCAGGCACCAGTGCCCCCAGGGAAAATGCTCAGGGGTGGTTCCAACCCCCCTCACTTCTCTTGGATTGCTGGAGTGGCATCTCAAAACCTTCTTGGGGCCAGTGACCATAGTCAGGGGAGACTCTCCTGGCCAGCCTGGTGAAGTATAAAGGCTACTCAGAATCAGAAAATCCCAGTTTAAGGGCTGGCTCTGGTACTTATGAGCTGTATGACCTAGGGCAAGTCACTTCCCATTTCTGGCCTTGATTTCTTATCTGTTCAAAGAGAATATAGGATAGATGATCCTGAGGCTCCTGACAGCCCTGCCATCGCATGCTTCTGTGTGACATCAGAACCAAGATGCTCTTGTAACAGGTTGGTCAATGCAGACACAGAGTACCAGGTTAAGCCTGGCAGGGGCCAAGGTTCCAGGGTCAGCTGCCAAAAATGTACAGGGGATAGGTTCAGGAGTGGCATTCAGGTTCCACAGGGAGCTAAAGGCCTTTTCCTAACTCTGCATTATCCCTCAGGAGTCACATTACTATTGTTTTCTTAGATTGTATGTTTATTTGGTGTGGGCTGTGAGAACAGGTAGAGGTGGGGGGATCTAACATCCCCGTGAGCCACCATAGTGGTACCACCATAACACCGTTCCCTGAAGACAGAGTGGGCACCAGGAACTCAGGAAGGCTCAGATTGCTCTGGATCTGTAGGACTGGACTGAGCTGCAGGACACCACCCTTAGAGCGTCCAAGGCCATGTGATGAGCCTTTGGAGGCGAGATGGAGGGGCATAGCCTCCCACTATAAAGAAGCCCTGCTCCCCTAGGTACATGCCTGACACCCAAGGATAGGATCCTAACACTGCAGAGTTGAAACACACCCCACAAGCCAAACTACCCATGTTTCTGAGGCCCAGAGAGGTGAAGACATTGTCCAAAGCCACACATGGCAGAGCCATGAGCCTAGGCCAGGAATTCAGGCATGATACCTATTCCCGAGCCCTCTGCCCTGAGACTTGCCCATCCAGAAACTCTTTCTGCCTCCAAAAGGAAAGAAAGACCAGACTCAACTGAAAGAGCCATGAAAACACTGAGTTACCCAGAAAACCCAGA